CAAACATTTTTATTTCTTTCTTTTTTATTAAATCCATAAGTGTGTGGTGTTGGAAGATTTTGAATACATCTAAGGTACAAAAACGATATACCTCAAATATACCCCAACTACTCCAACACCACACACTCATACATATAATTAAAAAATACTACATAAATAAGATATACACATTTGATATACTCCTAGCATTTTCATTTAATTGAGACTAACTCTGAGACCAAAGATGTAATACTCAAGTTGAAAAATAGTCTAAATCAACCCCTCTTCTAAAAAAAGAGGGTTGATTACAATTAAAGTAGTCATGTTCTATTTAAGTAATATTGTGATCTACATCTAGAGTCATCACTACTAAAAAAGAGGGGTTCATGCGAGCTCCACTAATGGCTCATTTATGTTAAATTTCATTTTAACATCAGGCCTCAAGTGTTCATTATACGTTTCTCAAGCATCTACATGAATATTCATTTTCAAGTAACTAAGTACTCAACAAATATTACATATCATATTGAGGAGTAGTTTTAAAATTCATAAGAGTATAAGACTACAAAGATCAATGGGATCTGGGATTTTAGTTGTGAGAATTCAACCGAATGAGGGACAAATAGAAAAAATTATAAGCACTAAATATATAATCCCATCGTGATGAGTAAATGGCATATGAAGAATTATAATTTTGGAATACTTTGTAAAAGTTTGAACTTAAGTGTATAAATTACAAACCAAGCCAAGCAAACTAAGCTATTAATTGTCAAAATCACCTCTGACTCTCTGAGTATATGCATTCATTTGGAATTTGTCTAAAACCTAAACAAGGTTAGTTCAAAACAAAACGCAGGCCTTATGCAACTTCAACCAGTCTTCTTTCAACTTAATTATCACAAACTTAAGCTTCTTTGACCAAAACAAGCTCTCACAGTCTTGGGTTTTCAAACCATGATTCCGGGATGTGCACTGGAGAACGAAGTGCTGAAACACTTAGCATCTGTTTACAAAGAAAGTCATTGAATCAGTGCTAGGTCACAAATTTTGTTTTTGATTTTTTAGAAATGAATGTATACCTTTGGCCTTTTGTATTTCTCCCTCAAAGCCACCAAAGAGCCTCCTCTTCTACTCCATTGTAGGTCATGAATTATGAAGACACATTCCATCAAATCAGCTGGGGTATACCCAGTGTAAGTCTGCAGTTCCTGATTCTACAAATGAGGGGTTGATGGTGATCAAAAACCAAATCAGTACATTCACACTTTCAACAGATAGATCATTAGATACACAAGAGGAAAAAAATACATTTTGGACAATTTTCTTACCCAGGGATGAAGGGTTGGGTTAAGGGTGAATCTTGAGAGGAATATCACAGAAGCAGCCACCATTGATGGTAAAAACTTGACACAATAATAATCAAGCAAACTCAACTCTGCTAAGTAGAGCCCTAGATACTCCAACTGCACTTTTTGTGTCTACAGAATGTATGAATGCGCAAGATGAGCACGGATAATGAAGATAAACAGCAAAACAACAGATGCAAGCATCCATGGAAATTGTAGAGTTTTAAGCTTACTTTGAAGTCTTCTTGAGCAATCTGGATATATTTCCTGCAAAGCAATAAAACCAGGCAAAAACAGATCAGCTATTTGAGATTCTGCCAGTTAGGAGGATCTAAGAAACAAAGAAATGTGGCATACATGAGAAACGATCTTATTGTTGGGGTTCCCAGTTCAAACTTGAGGGATTTGAGCACATCTTGCTCCATCTTCACAACCTCCTTCTGGTTGAAGGTGTTGTCAGTGATGTAACAAAAATCATCCACATGGGGAGGACTGATCTCTTCATATTTCCTGTTAATCGTAACACACGGTGAGCAATTGAGCTACAGATGGACTCAAAGGGGTCAAGACTTCATCACTTACGAGGCAATAAGCATTGCAGAAACGCCAAGAAGCTGAAGCTTGTGCCGAGAAATGTGGCTTACAGAGAGGAACCTATCAATGTAATTGACGGATAGATATAGAGTTTCAGGGAGAAGTTTGTATTCCTCAGCAACTTCAACCAGCCAATCCACCAGTATCCCTCTCATGTTTGCGCTCACATCCCTCTGAACCTTCTCCAGGTAATCGTTTAGTGGTCTTCTTTTCTCCTGCGCCTGAACCACAGAAGTTCGATTCATTCAAACCCTAAACTTAACCATAATCTATCAAACTTAAATAGAACAGTGCATCTCTCTAGTACGGAATAAATCAATGCTAAAGGGAAATGATACTAGCCTCCAATTGACGCATATACGCGTAAATATCAGAAGCATATGCACAGCACATCTGAGGATCGTCGGATTCTGAATCGGCGCCTCCATCAGCCTTTTTCGCCGTCCCTTTCACCTGCTTCGTCTTAAATTTTGCCCGATTAGGCTTGGAAATGTGAGGTTTAGGATCCAGAGTCCGGATGTCATCGGGATCCGCGGAAGGAAACTCATAGATCTCGGCCAACGCAACCCTCTTCTTCCTCTGCTGTATGTGCTCGGCGGTCATGGTCTCCGCCGCTCTCTTCTTCGCCATGCTGCGAGTCACTCTCGCACTGACACAGTTTTCCTGGTCCGCCATTGCTCTCTCTCTCTCTCTCTAGAGCCTCTGAGATTCCGGCGAGTAGGAATCGGAATCCGACGGGAAGGGTTGGAGGGAGCGGCGATGAGTAGAGGTAGAAATGTGAGGAAGGCGGGGTGGGTATAAATCCGCCATTTATGAGGCTTTGAAAAATTTCAGGTTTAGAAATTGGGCGCAAGTTTGTTTTCGTGCGAAAAAGAAAAATGAAAGTTTTCAATTTTTCAGGAGTTTTGGTGAGGGATCTGATAAAAGGTGAAGCGAAGAGCGAAACGATAAAAGGTTTTCAAATTTCGTTTCGGACGGCGAAATAAATTTTACCTTGTAAAATTGAAGCGGGATTTGAATGCTTTCCCGGCTTTTCCCTCCCCAATTTTCATAATGGTCTAAATTTAATAATACTAATTATCTTATGTTAACATGTCATTTTTTTTAAAATTCATATATAAGTGTGTGTTTGTGTGTGAGATTAAATTTTAGCTTTATATAGCTTCTTGTTCAATTCTTTTACCATTTTATGATCACTTTCCACCCACATGCATCAAAATTAATCAAAGCTCAACTACCTTGGAATACTTTATTTGATGTCTTACCTCTCCAAAATTACTTGGTAGGTAATATCTCCATGTAATTTATCAACCTTACTTCATCACTATTGCATAAATTAAGCATTTACTTCACTGTTGCATGAATACAACACTTTTTCTCTCTTGATCAACTAGTTATTACCACACTTCTTCTCTTGCTCACTTTCAAAACGAGCTACTGGGTCACACTTCCTCTCTTGCTCATTAGCCTATTTATATCATTTCATCATTCATTTTGAATGAAGAGTCACTCACTGCCACGTCGGCATTGACTGCATTTTCCATTTTACTTACTCCATATATAACACGTGTAGTGCTCCACTTACACTCAATAATGATCGATTGCGACTTTTTTTGCTCTAGTCCCTCGGTAACTTTTGTTTAAGTGTGCTTTATTTATTAATTGATAAAATAAAATATTCTTATTACATTTTTTGTAGCATTTTTGACATAATTTTTTCATATGTATGTTTATTTTTTAGTTCTTATGTCAATTTGTAAATGATAATTCTAAAAAACACAGGGTTTTACTTTGTAATTTCAAAATTGTAATTGATCTTAGAACAAAGGGAGTGTATCTTTAAAAAAAATTAAATAAATAATTTTTGTTTTGTATTTCAAAATTGTTGGGATTATTTAATTTTTTTACTATTACCATCCTCTAATTATTTAGTGTTTGTTGGTTTTTTAAACCTGTTTTATCTCTTTAAATTTTTTACCATTTATTTGTGCTATGAAATAACATAACCATCTTTTTAATGAAATAACATAACTTTTTATTTGTAGATGTCCCAAAAAAATCATCATTCTGTATATTTCTCTTTTTCATAAATATATTTGTGGTCCAATCGCTCTTTTCTCAAAAAAAATTTGAATCTTTTACTTTTTTGTGAAAAGATGAATAATTTACTGTTTAATGTTTAACATTTTTTCAATATCATTTCCACAACTTTTTATCTTCGTGGAGCAAAATGAACTTTTTCTTATGAGGAAGAGAGTATTATTTTGGAAATTGTTTATGTTGTTGTTGTTACTACTATTGATAAATTTTCAATGACAATGATTTTCAATGTATTGAGTTCAAATTAGCTCTAACTGGAACACTTACGACACAAATTTTTTTTAAAAATTGATGATTCTTAATCTCTAACTGTCCCACTAAACCTCTCGTCATTTTAATTATACCCGAAAATTTAGTTGAATTTGGAGAATGTAATCGAAAGAAGTCAGAGTTGGTTAGGATCAAGACGAGGCAGAGTTTATTGAGGGAATCAAGGAAGGTAGAATAATCAAAATTTAAAAAAAGTTGAGTATAACACACTTGAGTATATAATTTTTTATTATATAATTTTGATTTCGAAATAGTATATCATCACTCAAATTAGATGAATTAAAAATAAACTCAAGCAATGATCGTAATCTAAAATGAGACTTTAGTTTCAAAATAGAGAGATTATGCAATTTTGTTCAAAAAACTAAAATTGCACATAGTACAATGTGTTTAAAGATTTATTCCGTTCAATTTATTTTTTAACTTATTAAAGTTAGATCAAATATAGTTAGATCAGATATAATACGATATATTCAGATCCAATCAAATTTATTTTAAAAAAGTTTTAGATATTATTAAAAATCATACGAGAATTATTAGAGGAGACTAGTTGATTAGAACACAACCTAAACAATAAGAGGTGGAAACTCTTCGACCAAGATTGGTATATATATCTAAAGAAAAGAACATTAGGGTCAATCTTGAAAAAAAATTAAAGATGATGGGTAAATCTAAAGGAAATGACAATATTATCAGTATTGAAAAAGAAAAAAAGAAAAAATTAAAGATGTGAGGGGCATTTATCAATTTGTAAGCCCGAAATCCAATAGCCACTCCGGATCGGCAGACTTCTCTCATCATCCATATTATATCTGTCCAGATCCGCAGATGAAGCGCCCTCATGCTCCCGGTATCCGCGACGGCGCCGATCCAGCCCGGATCGGCGATTCCAAGAAGGCGAAGGCGGCGAATTCGATGGAGGGCGACGAGATAGAGTGTGGCCGCGCGTTAGCCTCGGCGGCGATGATTGCGGCCGATTACGTGCTATCGGATGTGAATCTACTGTGGGAGGTGCTGAAGCGCGTGGACGGGCGTACCCTAGCGTCGGCGGCGTGCGTTAGCCGGATGTGGAAACGGGCAGCGGAAGACGAGCGGCTGTGGGAGGTGATGTGCCTCAAGGACGGCGGCACCGGCAGTCTGCAGCAGCGGCACCTCTCCAACGTGGTCTTTGCTCTTGGCGGCTTCCGCCGCCTCTACTCCCTCCATCTGTGGCCGCTCGTTAAACCACCGTCTCCGTCAGCGCCACCCTGTGCCTGGCCTTCATTGCCCCCACCACCAAAGCTTTCTCCGACCGAATCGCCCGCCGGGAAGAGAAGGTGGGGAAAAGACGAGATGAATTTGTCGCTGTCACTCCTGTCGATCCGGCATTTCAAGAAGATGGATTTCAATGATCGCAGCAAACAAACATGATGAATTTCATTGAAATCTGGGTGTTTTATCTTTCAATTGTATTTGAAATTAATCGATCTGTATGTGATTGTATCAAATAATCAAAGCATCAGATCAGAGATCTGTAATGCGTGTATGTTTTTTAGCTGAATTCTTATGATTCCAAGAATCTCGTGTAATTTGTAAACAATTGGAGTTTGAGTTATTTCAAGAATTGATCTCTTTTTCTGGCTTGGAGGAATTCACAAGCTGTCCTTGCTAGAAGAGGCAATATTAGCAAAGAGAATTGAAGACAACCTTCCTTCATAATTAAAGGGTTCTCTTCAACTTATGATGAGAAGTTTTAATGAAGAATTTCAATAAATCAGAATCTATATGATGAGGAGCTAAAACTTAAACTTTCCTAAAAATGAGTAATTAATTTTTTCTTTTTTCTTGCATGCGTGTGTATTTACACACTTGGGGGGGGGGGGGGGGCTGGGCCATCCTCGCTGTACATTATGTTGACCAAATCCTTCGCCTATGTGAGATTAGGGTCTGGATGGCCATGCCCAAAATCCTCAAGGGGCACACCATTAACTATACATTCCAAAGCTAGCTCCGAGCATATCAACAAAAATAGGCTTCGCATAAGCACCAGTAACCGCATGCATCGCATCGAAGACGAACCTGAAATCAGGTCTGGAGATCAAACCTTTGATGAGCGAAAAGTCAAATAACTACTGCATTAGCTCCAAATATTCGCCGACACACTCTAACATTTCAACACCACCATCACACTCTACACAGTCTCCGTCGCAGTGCCACATTAACAACAACGAAGGTATAATCCCAAACTTGGCCACATATAATGTCACATATGGACATATGGTAATGCATAATGACACCGATTATCATATAATGTCACATATGGTAATGCACGATGCTACAAATTATCATATATAATGTCACTGTTGCAAATTCAAAATGTCAAACAAATGAATAATGTCAAACACAACCACTGACCTGCAATAAATCCAATAATATAATCAGTGACCGTCCACCATCTCATGGCTACCATTATGGCAGCCGGATGAGCAACCATCATTGACAACAGTTGGCCGTCATTTTCTGACATCGAATCGCCATCCGAAAGCATCCAAACAAAACTCAAGGCAAATAAAAACTCAATTAAATAGCAATAGGAAACCCAAACACTTCTGAAAAATTTAATATTGTGAAATTGGGGTGGGGTGAGGTAGCAAATCTGAGAAGGTGCGGGCCGGGCGACGAATCTTAGGGGGTGGGCCGAGGGTGAATGGTGGTGGCGATGGCACTATGAATCAGAAGTGGCAGCGGCTATGACACTACTATTAAGTGGCGGAGATGAAGATTGGAAAGGATCGAAAATAGTGGACGGCGGAAAAGATTGACTTTGGTCTTTGGAATAGGATCTGGCCACGAAGAACTTGGGGTTGTGGGTTGATTTTATATTTTAATAATTTTTACTCCTGTTTAGAGGATTTTAAGTTTGAGGTCCTATTTTGAAGATTTGAGATATCTTTTACTCCTATTTAAGGGGTTTTCTTAAGTTTGGTTGATATATAGATGTATTGGTGTCACACCACCCCAAAATGAAACTCAATGGTGTTCTGTTAAAAAATTAATAGTTTCTATCCATAATTGATAGGACCATGCTAGTGTGCCACCACATGGGTGCTATCATGGGTGCATCCATACTTCGCACAGACAAACACAGACGATAATTGTCTGTGCGACACAGACAATTATCGTCTATGTTTGTCTGTGCGAAGTATGGGTGCACCCATGGTAACACCCATGTGGTGACACCTTAGCATTTTCCTACTAATTGATATTGGTTGCGGTATTTCCTTTTGGTGCTTCTGAAACCGACTAAAATCAATCGGATGCTTTCTATCCCCAGAAAAAAAAATACGGAGTAGGTCAAAGTCTGATTGGGGTATTTCCTTTTATGTTTTTTTATTGGTTATTTGATAAAATAAAATATTATTGACACCTCTTATTTCGAAAAAGTTTTCATGTAGTTTTTTGATATGTAAATTTTATTTTTTATTTCTATACCAATATGTAAATAAAATAAATTGAAAAAACTTAATATTTTACTTCAGTAATAGAAGTGTGACAAATATTTAGGGGCGGATGGAGTACATAAAATATACTACCATTTGAAGTGTAAAAATTAAATTGTATAAATAAAATTAATTTTTTTTATTAAAAAGTGTCAAGTACAATGTTATTTAAGAGGATAAATCTATTTGTACCCCAAACTTTTTTACCCTATTTGTACACCGTAGATTTGCACTGATATTTTGTGTTGGTGTAAAGCTAATTTTTGTTAACGAATTAACATTTTGTGTACGTGGAAATTTTTGTTAACGCACCAATACTTATATCGGTATAAACCATCAAATTGTTTGTATATAACTGCGATGTACAAATGTAGCATGACCCCTAGGAGCACCCAAAAGCCGAAAACCGTCATCCTCCAACGAACTCCGTCCTCTTGAATAAAGACAGATACAGAAACTCAGACAGAAGCCAATCCATATCCGTACGGATCACTCTCTGTGTTCCTGGAACCTTAATTTCTGGGTATTTTGTTCTATTTCGATACACTTCCGTAAGCTTATGTTCCATCTTGAGGTTAATTAATTGCTGTTTTTTTTCTTTTTTTGTGTGGTTAAGCTTAAGTTTCAATAGACATGGAGAATGTTATCTTCTACTGTGTTGCAGTTTCAGTTCTCCTCTTTCCCCTTCTCGTCGTCCTCAGAAATCTTGCTCCCAAGCACACAAGAAAGCCACCTCCGAGCCCACTTGCTCTTCCGGTAATCGGTCACCTTTACCTGATCAAGAATGCTCTGCACCACTCCCTCGCCTCCTTATCCGCCAAATACGGCCCCGTTCTGCTCCTCCGGTTCGGTTGCCGGTCAATCCTCCTCGTCTCCTCCCCTTTCGCCGTCGAAGAGTGCTTCACCAAGAACGATATTGCCTTTGCCAACCGGCCCCGGACCATGGCCGGCGACCGGCTGACTTACAACTACACCGCCTTCGTGTGGGCCCCGTACGGCCAACTCTGGCGGCTCCAGCGCCGGTTCGCCACCGTAGAGCTCTTCTCCGCCGCCAGCCTCCATAGGTCATCTGTCATCAGGGAAGGAGAGGCCCGGACTCTAGTCAGGGCCCTGTGTAGACTCTCCGAGACCACCGGAAGAGCACCCGTTGACTTGAAGAGCCTTGCGGCGACGTTGACTTTCAATTCCATGATGAGACTCGTCGCCGGAAGACGGTGCGTGGAGGAGAAAGACGTCGGGAGGGCGAAAGGGAACGAAATCGTCAAAGGGCTCAGAGGAATTTTCTTTGCCAGTTTATCTGTGATGAACACTTGTGATTTCTTCCCTGTTTTGAGGTTTCTTGGCTACAAAGGGATGGAGAAAAAGCTGGTCTCTTTCCACAAGAAGAGGGACGAGTTCTTGAGTGGCATGCTGGACGAATTCCGGCGACAGAAAACAAAACTGTCCGATTCCGGTGGTGCCGATGACGGGGACGACAAGTCGCTGATTCAAACACTATTGTCTCTGCAAGATTCGGAGCCTGAGTTCTATACAGATGATCTTATCAAGAGCACCATACTGGTATGTCCATATCCTTTCCTATGTTTACTACTTCCGTCTCACTCTCTGTGTCCATATTTGACTTTTGGAACTGTTCATCTAAGTACTTTGACTAATCAAATTCTCTCAATGTGTAAGCTTAAATATAGTCATGTGTGATCTTGTTTGATTTGTCTTAACATATAGATTATTAATATATAATTTCTATAATTTTTTAATATATAAATTACAAGATAAAATGGATTAAAGAAGTGCATTGGATGATGTGCCAAAAGGTAAGTGGACAAAGACAGTGGGACGGAGGGAGTATTTCTTATGGATAATTTAAATTAGTGATATGTCTGGTGGCGAAACAAAATTCCGTGACTTTGAACAATATCGTGTGGCGATGACTATTTACTTTAATAATGTTGAGTGAACATTAAACAGTTATATTACATTGAGATGTTAGAACACATGATAATATATTGAAAAATTGAGACATGTTTTAGTACTCTAATGTGATACTCGTGTAGTACGTTTTTTATGGGATGGGAGAATATTTAAATCATGTAACCACGTTTGGTTCGATCAGATGATGTTTGTGGCAGGGACCGAGACATCATCAGCAACCATAGAATGCGCAATGTCGGAGCTGCTAGCCAATCCGGAGGCGATGCGGAAGCTGAGATCAGAGATAGACAACGTCGTCGTCGTGGGACGACCCGACCAACAACGGTGTTTGGTAAAGGAATCCGATCTTCCCAAGCTACCCTACCTGCGGCGCGTGGTGAATGAGACGTTGAGGTTGCACCCACCGGCGCCGCTTCTCTTGCCTCACTGTTCGTCGGAGGATTGTGTCATCGGGGGATACGATGTTCCAAGGAACACAATCTTGATGGTCAACGCTTGGGGTCTTCATCGGGACCCGGCGGTGTGGGAGGAGCCGGAGAAGTTCTTGCCGGAGAGATTCGGAGCAACGGAGGAGGCGGAGCTCGGTGAGAACGGCTGGAAGTTTCTTCCGTTTGGGATGGGCAGGAGGGCGTGCCCCGGAAATAATATGGGGTTGAGAATGGTCAGCCTCGCTTTGGCGGCTTTGGTTCAGTGTTTTGATTGGGAAATTGATGATGATGATGATGGGAGTATGGTAGCCAAGGCGAAGGAGGCGGGGGCGGTTTCGTCTTGGTGTTGACCCGGCAGACCACTAAGCATCTGGTGGCGGTGTCCACGCCTCGATCAGATATATGTAACGCGTGTACGTTTTTTTAAATTGAGTTCTTATGATTCCAAAGATAATTCTTATGTTTAGGAAATGGATTCGCCCTGATTAAATATCAAAATAATGATGGATAATTTATTTCTTAATGTAGGACTTAAACTTTTTTATTCTCTAAATAGTACTTAATAATGTCTACAATGAAAAATAATGTCTAGTGATGGTGAATATTTATTTGAATAATGACTAAGAGATAATGACTAAAAGTGCTACATTAAAAAATAAAAACATATGATATTATTTAAGAAAAGTCATTATGTTTTAATGCTATTTAAATAAATTTTACATTTTTATTAGCATGATACAATTTTTATAATAACTCAATGTAGATGATTTTTCTTAGAAACAATTTATATAATAATTCAATGACGTTTGAGATTGATTCCGATATTTTGTTTTTGAGAAAATGTTAGGGATGTATAATTATTCCATACTACTCCCTCCTTCCATGTTTTAATTACAAAATAGAAATTACGAGCTAAACTTTCATGACTTTTTATATCACTTTATTTACAAATTGATATATTAATAACAAATAAAAATTACGTGTTAAAAAAATACATCAAAAATTTTATTAAATTTTTAAGAGGTTAAAAACATTCACCTAGTATAAAATAAGAGGTAACAAAAATATTTTATTTTATTAAATAATTAATGAAAACACAAAAACTAACAAAAATTTTCGAGAAGAGAGAAAAAATAAAATTATAATCAAAGTGAGAATGGAGGGAGTACATTTTTTGTTTATAGATATTATGAATCCATCCTAAATAAATTGATGATTAGCCTTAAGAATAGAAAATATAAATAATATCGGAATAAGAATCAATTTCGAGATATAACAACAACTTGAGTGTATTGGTTGTGGCGTTGACATGTGGCATGCCACATGTGCATCCACATGTGCACTATTTACGGAGGTGGAGGCATTTCACTGGTTCATTAAGCTTCTTTTTTTAAAAGATCTTTTAATATATTTTATTATATTATATTAAATAAATATTATTTTTTAGCAATAAAAAACATTACTTTGATTATATTTTGTATAAAACTTTAACATTTTCTAACAATTCTATAAGCATATATATTTCACTATTGTAAAATATATTTCGTATTTTAAATATGCATATTGATTGCAAAATTTTAAAAAAGAGTATGTATAAGATTCTTTATTAATAATTTAAAAATCACCAAGGTTCCCATGACATTGGATTTCAATGTCATGGGATGACCCG